ATATGTGTATATATATATGTTATATTTTTTTAGTTTTATATATATATATATATATATATTCTAGATCTGTTCAGATTGATGAAGTTCGTTTGTTCTGATGGATCTTACTCTACCACCACGCTCCATCTGCGGTGGATCTTGTGGCTTGGTGTATTTCTTAGATCTGAACAGATCACTATTCAGATCTAGATCTTCTTCTTATCCAGATCTTCTTCATCACCAATTTTTTTCTTTGGAATTAGCACCATTTTTTCTCTTTGATTTCACCAGATAGTTGTAGTTCTAGTTATTTTTGTTGTTGTTTTTGTTGTTGATGTAGATGTTGATGAAACAGATTGCACCATTTGTTTTTGTTCTTGTGTTGAACAGATTGAAGAGAGAGATATTTGAACAAATAGAAAAAATAATATCTTTTTTTAACAGATTGGTTTGGTTTGTCTTAGTATTGCAACAAATAATTCTGTCATCTCCCTAGCAATTGCAACAGATAGATACAAAACTTCACACAGATAGAAAAGGTTTGACATCAGATAGCGTTGGTTTGACAAATAGAATAAAATTTGAACTGAAAAGGTTAAAACAAATAAAATTTGAACCGAAAAAGATTAAAAAAAAAATTGAACGAACGGGAAACAATTGAACAAATATGGGAGAAAATTGAACAGATAGACAAAAAAGTTGGACAGATAGAATTTTATTTGAACAGATAATTAAACAGATAAGGGAAATTTGAATTGAAAAGATTAAAAAAATTTGAACAGATAGGAAATTTTTTTGAACAGATAGGGAAAAAAATTGAACAGATAGTCAACGAAAGTTAACAGATAAAAAAAAAGTCAACAGATAAATTAAGACATAAAATTGAAAACAATAAAAAGAACTTCTCACCAAACTATATCACAAAACGTGAATCTCTCACTAATAAAAAATATTCACGGAATCTAATGCCTTAAACCATCTCCAACCCTTCACCAAACCTAGCATCAAATTTGAAATTTGGTGAAAAAAGTACTATTGTTTGGAGCTCCAACGATTTAACCAAATTGATATCAAATCGAGAATTCACCAAACGTTTCACTAAAATGAGGACAGGCTCCGCATTTCACCAAAACACTGTGCATGACCGTTGAGGGAGACCAACCGGTCGACCAGCCGGTAGACCGGCCAGTAGACCACCAAAAGGTTCAAACAGTTCCAACAAAAGTTCAAACAGTTGAAAAAAAAAATTTGCCTTACCGATCGACCAACCGATCGACCACTAAAAGGTTCAAACAGTTCAAAAAAAAATCCAAAAAAAAAAAATTTGGCTTAACTGGTCGACCAGCCGATCGACCAACCGGTTATCCCGGCACAGATTTGATGAAAATTTGATGAAAATCAACAATTGAAGCACTCGGTATCAGATTGAGGAAAAAGTCATTTTTTTACTCAAATTTGATGAAAATTTTGATTCAGGGTTGGAAATGCTCTTAAGCACCCTTCAAATTAGATTTATCACCAATTTATACTTTTACATTCTCCCTATACCATCACTCTCTACTGTGCCCCGACAACTCAACAACCTTATTTTTTATTTTATTTTCAAAATATGTGTAAAAAAATAATAAATAAAAATAAAAAGTGTTTCATTTATTATGTAAATAAATTAAAAAAAAATAGATACAATGATCTCTAAATTAGCTCAGCCATTTTCATTAACTACATGAATATTAATTTTTAACTTTTTAAAGTTAGACAATGAAAAATGGGACTAAAAACCCCACTTAAAGTCTCGTTTGTTAATTATATGTTTTAATTAAAAAGTCAAAAAATTATTATATATTATCACATCATTTTTTTTAATTTTTTTATATATTTTTTTAAAAAATTAAACAATTATTAAAATAACTTATTTTCGAAAGAGGCCTATGGATAGATGTGATTGTTAATAGGTAAACTTTGGTTGCTTTCATCTATGTCGAAGATGCCAACCCTCTATTGTGAAATTTTCTATGTTTTCTTTTATTTTTCTTTTTTCCTTTCTTTTTTTTAATCTTACAATTTGTGATTTCTTCCTTAGAATATTTCTACTATTAATTTAAAATTTTCATCCACAAAAGGCCAAAGTAATATTACTCAACTTTGTTATTAAAAAAAAATGCACAGAAAAATAATTAAAAGATAAATTATGTAATATTATACTAAAAATGTGTAATATTAATTCAAGAGAGGCATAAAAATTTAGAAATTTTACAATAAATCTCTCAATATTTACAATAAATTCAGAAAATTTTACTTAGATTCACATGACAACAATTCTCAATCTCCATCACACAAACATATTATCCAAAACAATCAACTTTAATTTTTGTAGAACAATAGGATTTTAATCAAAATTTTTGTTATGCATAAATAAATCTGAATCATATTGATATTTTTTAACAAAACTTTGAGTAAAAATTCTGAATATAGCATTACCGTTCATGATTATAGAGTATTTTGTAAGGTAATCTAATTTGTCTATAATATTTTTTCAACATTTTTTTATTAAATTTTGTTTTTGTAGCTTTTCCAAAATATTTTTAGGGATTGTTTGGAGTGTCCTAAACAGGGGCGGCTCCAAAGCCAGGGGTGTCACCCGAACCCCCTGGCTGAATTTTTATTATTATTATTATTATATAAATATTAGATTTTAAGAAAAAAAAATTAGTAATTGAACCAACTAAAATACAATTTGGAACTCATAGTTTTAAATCCTACTCTTTTGAACCCACTATTTTGATAGTGTTGATAATGAGCTTATTATGCAATGATTTCAAAATATGAAATCTCGTCGTGGTCAATTGTAGAAGCTCGTGTATTAGCATGTCTTTTTTGCTTAAATAATAATATCAATATATTGAAATATTTTTGTTTATAATTTTAGAATTTAAATTAATTTGTTGATTTTTTTCTCCATATGTGATATAATGATTAATGTGAATTTTTTGTAAGATATATGGTATTTAAGTTTTTGATTGACACCACTAACAAAAATTTCTGGAGTCGCCACTGGTACTAAATAAGTGCACTTTTTGTCTTTTTGGACTAAAAAATTGAGGAAAAAAATATGAATGTTTGGGTTAACTTTTTTATTTTTTATGAAAAAATATGTATTAAAAAATTGTATAAATTAATGTATAAAAAAAATTAAGATTAAGAGTTGTGCAGCTGTAATTTTTAACTTTTGATAAATAATGATAATTTTTTAATTTTTTAAATAACTTTTTAATTTTTTTTGTCTTTTTATAGATTTGCCAAACTTTTAGTGTTGGAAATTGGGATACAAACAAAAAGTGCATGAAAACGTCAGCTAAAACTCGTGCACGTGTTTTACATCACACAACATGTTTCACGCCTTGGAAGTTTCTCTCACATTTCCCATCAATGCCCCGACAAACAATATATTTGCCCTAATTTTTTATTTTTTTTATAATTTTTTTATTTTTTTTCTTTTTAAGTAATTTAACTTTTCTCATAAGAGTACTTAGGTGTTTTGAAAAATTAGTAAAAAATTAATTTTTTTTATCTTTTTAGTCTATTTTATTTTTTTGTGAGTAAAAAATGTAAGAGGTGATGTGACCTAAAATGAGTAAAATGCTAAAAGTTAACTTTTTACTCTCTTTCCAAAAGACCCTTTATTAGACAATGGAATTGTATGTTGCAACTTAAATAAGTTAATGGCAAATATTAATAAGTGTCTCTTTGTATTATTTAATATTAAGAAGTATTTGTAAAGTGTCTTGAAAATGTAAAAATGTTTAAAAAATGTATTGATTTCAATTAAATTGTATTGAATTTAGTGAAAAGTGTTTTGTATTATTTAAATTTTTTGTCATTTGTTTGTACCCTAGAGGCACTTATTGGCAAAACCCTAAGTTAATTATAGTGTATTCTAATTTGAGAATGTGTTAAATTATTTGATACAATTTTTGCTTAAAATTTATTAAGTAGAAATAACTTAAATAAAATTTTTAAAAATTGATTATTTGAAAGTTGGGGGATGGGTACTTTTGATTTCTACTTTATAATCATCAATTTTTAACTTACAATAAACTATACCAAACACGCCCAATAAATATAGAAAGGAAATTATCATATTTAATAAATAATAGAATTATTCAAGTACATGAAAAATTATGTAAGTGAATAAGTTTGATGATATATAGAATTTCTTAATTTTTTATTATATAAACTATACTTAATCTTTTTTGTGATTTGTAAAAAAATATATTGAACATCATAAATTTAGCATAATTTTATTAGGTCTGTTAAATTTTAATTCACATAACATTTATTCTATTTTTTTAAAAAATTATTTATTAATGATTTAGATAAATAAATAAAAAAATGATGCTATTGTTTTATATTAAAGTATATGAAAAAAGTTAAAATCTTAAAACATGATCTTTAAATTTATACAAAATGGTGTAAACTAGTTAGTGCTTGATTTTAAAAAATAACTACTTAAAACCTAATTATATTAAGAATTTCTAGCATTATACATATTTTATCATATTTATTTTTGTATTTTCAGACCATCAACCTGCTAAAAAATAAATTAATATAATTTAATATATTAAATTTATAGAAAATTTTCTATTATGAAACAGAGAGAATTTATTTAATTTTTTAAATAAGAATGAAATGAGGGAATCTTTATTATTTATTCAATTTTTTTCTTTATCTTTTTTTTTTGGGGGGACAGATAAAACAAAAAAACAAATTAAAAATTATAATTATTTTAGACACATCAAATCATGAGAAAGGGAGTTCAGTGACGTGTTATTCTACACTCAGATCCACGGTATCCAAATCGAACTACCTCGAGATCCGAGATTCAATCATCCATTTGTACACGTGGTTCACATGCAAACCAGTAAATCAGGTCAAACACATCAAACAAAACCCAATCAGAAGGAGATTTCATAATATCATTGTAAGACTGCCACACTGGATTATAGCCCAAACTATCTGGCCCAACCTCTTTCTTCCTCAATAAATCTGAACCGTTGATTATATATGATACTGTCCTTCACCATAAAGCAACCTCATTTTTGTCTTATCTTGAATTTACAAATAAAGCTTTGAAAGCTTTCATCAATGGCGGTTTTAGATCTCATGTTTACTTCGTGAAGAAGGGTAGCGAATTTTTTCCAAAAACAATCCAAAGTATACATTTTTCTATCCAATAAGCAATGTTTTTTAACAATTCCTCAACCTTTTCTTTTTTCTTGCAGATTCTTGTCTTCCAAACAACCCAACTACCCATATTCAGCTGAAAAAGAAGAAAGAAAAAAAAAACCCAGAAGAATTACGTCATTTCTAGATTAATAATGATGTGGGTTCGAAATAAATTCGTGTAAAGAATTGATTTTTGGGTTTGGGTTTGTTTCGAGAAAGTGATTAGAGTTTGATTGTTCGGTTCTGGGGTCATTTTCTTTCGAAGGAAAGTGAGAGAAAACATGAGAGAAAAAGTGGGATTCGTTGTGTATGTTTGGTTTCTTCTATATGGGTCTTGTTTGGGTAGATTTGTGGTGGAGAGGAATAGCTTGAAGGTGACTTCACCGGACTCTTTGAAAGGTGTTTATGAATCTGCAATTGGGAATTTTGGGGTTCCTCAATATGGAGGAACAATGGTTGGAACTGTGGTTTATGCAAAGGCTAATCAAAAGGCTTGTAAGAGCTTCAGTGATGTTGATCTCTCCTTCAAATCCAAGCCTGGTGGTCTTCCAATCTTCCTTCTTGCCGATCGAGGAGGTGAAATTTTTTAATTTACAATTTTTTTGAATTAAATTTGATTTTGATCAGTTTTTAGCTCTCAATTTTGTTAACTTTCGATTTTTATGGTAATTGGTTATCTTGTTTATTTGATCAATACTAGGACGATCACAGAAGTGGACACATAATGGGTATTAATGAATAAGATTTTACAGAATTTTTTTTTAGTGGGATTCACTTTTGAAAAATCTTAAACGTCCATAATGTTCACTTCTGAAAAATCTCTTTTTTGCCCATATTGAGAGGTTGTTTGGGATTTGTTTCTTGAGTATACTTTTTGATATTTTTTTTTAATGTAAAGATGTACGGAAAGTGGAGAGGGGATGTAAAAATATTAATGCGTGCTTTAGATTCATTCTAAAGCGTGGATTCTGCAATACACTAATTGAATCTCAGCAATACTATGATGGTGTTTGGGAAGTGAGTTTTTATGTAGATTTTAGTAGATGTAGGTTTTTATGAGATAAAAAATTTTTGGTGTTTGGGAAGATAGTTGGGTTTTTATGTGGTTAGATGTGATGTTTGTGAGAGAAAAAGTGAAATGATTATGGGGTTGGATGTGATATTTTGTTTGGATGTGTTTTTTTTGGTTTTGCAAAACTTTTGTCTTTTAGTGGAAAAAATGAGAAAAAAATTTGGGAAGTTGCTTCCCAAACACCACCAATGTTCTCCTTAGGGATAATGGTCGCCTTTTCCATGTTGATTTTGGTTTTCTTTTGGGTCGTGATCCAAAGTCATTTCCACTGCCAATGAAGCTTTGCAAAGAAATGGTTGAGGCCATGGGCGGAGCAGAAAGGCAATTTCAACTCTTTTGAAAGTAGTTATTTAACACTTTTGGTGCTTTAATTTTTATGCCCCATCAGCCATACAAAATCCATTCGGAGGAAGATGAAAAAAGTGAGGTAGGGAGAAGAGGGTTGTAGTGGTCGGAAATAGCAAGAAGGGTAGTCGTCGACGTTTGTTGTTAGAGCGGCAAAAGTGGTGGTTAGGGGTGGACGCTAGGGTTTGAGTTTGGAAAGATAAAGATAAATTTGGTATTATGACAAGTGTAATGAGAAAAAATGATTTATAGAAAAAGTGTAAAAAGAAAATGGATGTAAAGATTCCATTCCATTTCATTTCATTTCATTTCATGGTGCAAGTAAAATTACTCATAATGAATCTTTTTGGAATATTTTATCACAAATATGACTTAATTGTTCATATTAAAATTTGATAAAGCTTAATAGTAATCTTGAAAACAAAATAAGACTTATCAGTTATTTTTTCATTAAAATATTAGAAGTAATTTTATGTTATTTAAGGTTCTCAATCCATAAATCCAATTTTAAATATTTTTTATCTATAAATCCACACTTTAAAATATTCTGTCTACAAAGACAAGTTTTTATAAATGACCAAACTACCCGATATATATATATATATATATATATATTGCTCCCAAACCCTAAAAACCATCGTCTCTCTCTCTCCTCTGCTTTCATCGCTAGCATTCTCCATCCTCCACCTCCATATCCACCGTCTCAACCGCTATCGTCGACGAGTATATAACATCGATTCCTCATCGTCAACAAGTTCCACGTGTCATTCCTCCTCGATTCGCCGCTGTACTGATTCCTCGAGTTCGATGGCTTTTTGTTTCTTTCAAGATCATTAGTTGAAGATCATTGTTCGTCAGCATCTTGAAAATCATTGTTCCGAAAGCCCTAGGGTTAGGGTTTCACAAGATCAATGACGACGATGGCGGCGGTGAGGGGGGTGATTATAGTGATTTGGAGATGTTTTCAAGTTCAGAGAAATCGGTTCAATCGCAGATCAACCAATGACGAAGACCATGAAATTGGTCCAATCGCAATGGTTTCAAATAGGAACGACCTTGACGTTGTCTGCTTTGACATCGATAAGAAATTTATGCACTTTCTCCACGTCTTTTTGGTGTTGCTCTCCTCTGCTTCTCCGTTGTCACGGTGTCTGGCAACGATCGCATTGTATTCAGCTTCTCCGATCTGGTTTGTGACCTTTCAACTTATAACATCTTAGATATGGTTTGTGATCTTTCGAACTTTGTGCAATTTCACCATTATGAACTCGATTTCAAGTTCAGAATGCAGTTCGAAGCCTTTCTTTTGTTCGATATTCAATTCTCATTGCTCGACTTGGCTAGTGCAGTCTTGATTTCGACGAAGATTCAACCCTATGAATTCTTCCTGTAAAAAATTTTTTGTTGGTAAATTGTTTTTGTTTGTTATTGTTGTTGAATTTGAACAAATTTGGATGATGAATTCGTTCTCATTGATGAGAGAGAGAGAGATGTCTATAGATCTAATCTGTTGAATATACTATAAATTAGATCTATTTGAACAGATAAAAAAAATGAAAAATTTAGCCAAAGCCCTCTATTAGACCCTTATTTGGTTAAAAGGATAATTCAATTTATTTTGTTTCATAAACCCGTTAAGGAGAAGGTACATAATTGAGTAAGGACAAAATAAAATATATATAAATTTTTTTATTGGATAATATTGTCAAAGTAATATGCTACTGTAAATCAGTAAATTAGAGTAACATGTTATTATGATATGTTACTGTTTAAATTAATTTCGACGGTAATAAATTTTTATTTTAATTTTTTTATTTAAGAATTTCATAGTCAACATGAATGTTATTTAATAGATTTTGATGAGATTATTTTAAAAATATTAATTTTATTAAAAATCGATTATAGATCAAAAGTTATATTATTTTAAAGTTTAATATTTTGATAATAGTGGTATATATTGGATTTTTTAAGAAATTTTTTTTTGTGATTGTCCTTAATACATTAAAGTTTATTATGATGGGGCTTTGACAAAATCCCTCTAAAAAAATTGAATTGCTATTTTAATAGATAAAATTAAAAAATTAAGACAAGAATTTGAACAAATAAGTAAAAAAAAATTGAACATATAATAAAATTTTAATAGATATTTAAACAGATAAGGGAAAAATTGAACAGATAATCAAAAAAATTGAACATATAAATATAAATTTGAACAGATATAAAATTATTTGAAAAGATAGATATAAATTTGAATAGATAGTTAAAAAGTCAACAAATAAATTAAGGAATACAATTTGAAATAAAAAGTCATTCAAAACAAACAAATGGATTTCTCACTAAATTATTTCATAAAGAGTAAACCTCTCACCAATAAAAAATAGGGGCACTTACGTGTAAGTCCTAACAAGTGGACTTATTGTCTAATAGGTTCTATGGAAAAAATTTGTCATAAAAAAAAATCACTAATTGTAAGCTTTAGCGACAATTTATAAAAATCATGACAAAAAAAAGTCAATAATTATCAATTTTTAGCGACGTATGTAAAAATTTGTCACAAAAAAATTATTTTTATTGATAATTTTACCAAGACTTATTTTCAATAGGACTTGATGAAAATTAAGTCTAACTATTAGGGCCTACTAGTAATTTACCCAAAAAATATTCACTAGACCTAACAGTTTATATCCACCTTAATTTGGATTTTTCAACAATTATTATCATATATATATATATATATATATTCAACAATGATATATCCTTCTAAATGAAGGAGCTCTAATGAGTTTTAATGACATGGAAAATCACAAAAAAAAAAAAAAAAAAAACCACACACACACAAACATCACTATCATTCAATTAGAGCTCCTAAAGCTCCTTTATTAGCTCTCAAACATTTTTTATACATATTATGCATAACATAATGATAGGTGGTTCGAAAAAACATGACTCAAATGGCTCGAAACACCTAAAATGACGTCGTTTTGACATATTCGAGCTACAGAATTCGGGTCACCAAACATTTTCCTATCCATAAAAGACTCCTTTTAACAGTTTGCTTAAGCCCCGAAAAACTCAAAATTGGCCCGAGGGCAAACACCGAAGAAGGAAAGAAAACTTCTATGACAACCCTCAAAAAAGACCATTTTTTGTAATAATTGAGTTACTTGTTTTCAAAATAATTATTAAAATACATGTGTATCATATGACAATGCTTATGCTGTGTTTAGTTAGGGATTTGAGAAGAAATTTAGAAGGACAAATAGAAAAAAATAGATAAAATATGAATAAAATATATCTATATTTGACCTATTTTCATACATTTTCTCTTTTCTTTTTCAAATTCCCCCCCAAGTCCCGCAACTAAACACAACTTTAATGAATTGGAAGAGAAAAAAACTTACAAAAAAAAAAAAAAAAATAAATAAAGTTATATAGTACTCCAAGAGTATCTATATTTTCGGTTAGAAGGAGCTCTGCGAAAAAGTTTCATAGAAATTCATAAACCCTTTCACAAAAAAGATCCTTCTGGAAGGCCAAAAAGAGCAAAAGCAGAGACCAAGCAATGTTTGTTGTTTCAGAGCTTTCATTTTTCTGCTTTTTTTTTGAAATATTAAAAATTATTTTGGCAAAATAAATAGTAAAAAATATATGTGATGAATTTTTAGACAGTATTTCACCCCAAAGACACTGATATGAAGATATGGATTATTAACATAATAAGAAAAATCCATTTCAAACTCATTTAATTTTTTATTTTTTTTTTATTTTTAAAACTAGTCTTACAAACTCAACAAATAATATCTTTCATGAATTGACACATCACCACCCATATACATATTGGCTATGATTGAGCTAGCACAGAT